CGTCTGATTAAAACTTAAAATCTACAAGGACATTAACGTAAGCTAAATATTTCCATGTTTCCAGTTTGGGATCTTGTGCCGGATTATTTGGGCATTCTGTATATCACCATTACTGCTCACAGACCTCTTCAGGGCCATCCAGTGCTGGCCCAGCTGAGGAACGAGGGCCAGAAAGGTTGAGTGATCATTCCACGGGTCCTACTGCTCTTCGTGGACACCGTAAGGGGGGCTCTAAACCCCAGAGACATACAGCTTTTAACACGCAGAGCTCTGAGCCGACCCTGGAGTTGGATCATTAAACTGGCTAGTTCTACTTTAAAACTGCGTGTTCTTCTAGTTGCTGTTTCAAGTGAATCATTCACCAGAGGCCATCAGTGGTATATAGACAAAGCTATTCATTTTGGCATATAAGGTTGTATGTAAGGTCTTCTCTAATAGTCCAAGTTCAGTGAGACAAAACAGAATCCTGTGATTTCTTTAAAAAAAAAAAAAAAAAAAAAAATATATATATATATATATATATGTTAAACACACACACACACACACTTCCATTTTAAAGGTTTCTTATTTGTCCTGTCTATTTTCTGGATAGAAATCCAGCTTTAGGTCAGGTCCTTCTAAATGAAACTGCTGAGCCAGAGTCTGAATAGGCTTCATCTCTGCCATCAGCTACGGCTTGCCTTATTATCATACAGGACTATTTAATCCAAACCAATGGGAAGCGAGCCCCCCCCCGCCCCAGTCAGAGAATCTCGGAGCTTACTTCTGGCCCTGACAAATAGGAAGTTGTGGTGCCCTGCTCCCTGCTGTCATCGAGCGAGCGAGTGAGCGAGCGGGGAGCGGGGCGTAAATGTTGTGTTTGCTCCATCTGTAAGTGTTAGAATAAGTTATTCAGAGCTCTTAGCACAGGACCAACCAGAGTGGGCCTCCCTCCCCGTTCCAGCACGTTTTCCTGCCCATCAGATGGATGCTCCTCTGCTGGAGTCTTTGGAAGGTTCTGGTGTCTTTTATTTTAATTGGCGGGCGAGAGCCGACTCCTACGGCGCGATTTTCATTAGAGAGGGGCTGGAGCGAGGGAGTGTTGGAACAGCCCTCCAAACCCAACGATGAATATTAAACATAACACAATTACAGCTTTCGGACCAATTATTTTTCTTTTCAACGGGCAAAGTTGATGAAATACTCGCAGGATAGGAATTCACAATATCTACCGTTGGCTTCTTTTTGTCCCTGGCGTCGGTGGTCTTGGCGTTATGTTGTGCCCATTTGTGGTGCTACCTGTGTCCCAGCATCAAGTCTTTGGTTGGAGCGCTGAATTTGCCAAGGCAGGCAGTTCAGGGTGGGGTGGCTCCGTCAGGCGTTCGAGGCAGACCCCGCTCTCCCCGTGGGAACGTGAATGGCTCGCGCGGACTCTGCCATTTCTGTCTGTTGACAAGAATGCAGAGGATGCCTCTCCCGGGAGATGTCCTATACCTGCTTTTCCTTTTTTCCTTGGGGGGGGGGGGGGGGTTCAAGTCCGTTCTGGCCGTTCTTGTTTTCCTCAGTGATGTAAAATATGCAAATGCTGCATCTTTTGGTGTATTTGTTTATTTTGTTTGGAGCCATCCATGCTGGTATCTAAATACAATAGGAAAACAGATGGCAAACTTTGAACTTCTGGACCGAATTTGTGTTTGCCTTTGTCTTCCTAACAGCCAAACTGTAAATTATGGAGTATAAATATTCAACAGAGGAGCTCTTTATGAAAATCACCACGGTGAAATGGACCCCTATTAACCAGATATCCGCTGACAAGTACTGGGGCTAGAATCTTCCTCTTCACGTTGCGGTTGGTAAGCGGTGCAGCTGTCGCCTGCTGCCAGCCTGCCTTTTCCAGGGGGTCCACCTTTTCTCACAGATGCCTCAAGTGGCTCTAAATGCTGATGGAGGGAGACCTTTGTCTCCCAAGTCTGCTCCACGCTGTCTGCATCTCGGGTCCAGACCCCGCGCCGGGGAGGGGGGCCCGCGGGGCGCGCCATAGTCAGAGAGTGTGAGGTGGTTCCAGGCCCTCGCCCGTGTGCCAGGAGTACGGATTTCTAAACTCCAGGTTTATGTACAGGAGCGCGTGTGAGACACGGCACGGTTTGAACAGGAACAGCGTGCCTGTGCGGCCACCGCCCAGCCTACCCAGTGCCCCCGTCGTGAACGAGTCTGCTTCGCAAACAGCATGACGGTGCCCGCGACTAGAGGGAGCGGGCAGCTTTACTTCGTCCCGCTGTCTCCACTCCTCCCCGCCGTAACTGCTGTTACGCATTCAAGTGCGTCCTTCCAGCATCTTACACTCTTTCACCTAAACAGGTAACCTGCACGGTCAGAAGCACGATACAGAGGGAGAAGCGACGTTTCTGGGCACTTCTCTTCCCGAGCAGCCTGGTCCTCCTCCTCGGTCAGCGTTCTCCGGAGGGGTCTGTACGCACATGCGCGGAGATGTTCTTCCCCCGCCCCCGACCCCTGTCACACCATTGGCCCCGTGCCCTCCGTGTGTAGCAGTGGCTTGGTGACAGCTCCCCTCCCATGGTAGAGACCGGGCACGGCCACTGTGTGACTGCACCGGCAGTGACCGAGCGAGGGCCGTCCGCGTCCATTCGCACTCGTGCCTACTCCACGGCGTCCCGTGGCTCCCGCCACCCTGCTTGGTGTTCGAGAGGTGATGCGTCTTTCCCTCAGGTTGAAGGCCTTTTGTCTTCTGCACTTGCCCACTTTAGTAAGATACTCTTCAGTATGTCATTCTCACTTTGATGAGTGCCGAGCGTGAGCATGCGTGCCCTTCGTGAATGCTAGAAACACGCCCGCCACTTACTATTCAAATATTGCCTCTTTGCAGTATGCTTTGTTTTCTCCATCTGGAACTTCTTTTGGACACAGGCTGAACTGTCCCCTTCTATCATTTGTGTCTCCTAATCCGTTGGTCACATTTTTTATTTATGTGCACTCCATTCTAGGTCATCTTTCAGATTTATCGTCTAATCCACAAAGTTTTCCAGCCTGTCTAATGAATTTAATTTCAGGGGCTGTGTTTTCATTTACAGAAGTTTTACGTAAGAATTTTTTTTAAGTTTACTTATTTCGAGGGGCGCTTCAGTGGCTCAGTCTGTGAAGTGTCAGTGCTGACAGCCTGGAGCCTGCTTCGGATTCTGTGTCACCCTTTCTCTGCCCCTCCACTCATGCCCTGTCTCTCTCAAAAATAAACATTAAAAAAAAATTTGAGAGAGTGAGTGAGAGCAGAGAGAGAAGAAAAGACAAAGACTCCCAAGCCGGCTCTGTGCTTTCAGCCCAGGGGTTTGAGCCCCACGAACCATGAGGTCATGACCTGAGCCGAACCCAAGAGTTGGATGCTTACCTGAGCCACCCAGGCACCCCTCGTTTATAGAACTGTGACTTTTTTGTGTGTGTGTAAAGCAGGAATCTATTCCCACCCCCTTTGGGTGGGCCCAAGTCTTACCTTCTTGCCGCTGTGTTTTGGGAAGCTCCAACCCTACCCGTAGTTCCTGAGGTTGGCACCTGGCAACAGACTCACCCCACCCCACATGCATGCCGGCAACTGAGACACCGAGCAGTGCATTTTCAGGGGTGTAATTCATCCGGCAGTATTAAGTGACTTTCAGTGGGAGGGTCAGGAAATTGTCTGAAACAGAAACCCCATCTTCTAAAAACCGTGCTAATGGCCTTGTGTGGCCATGTGTATTTGTATACGTATATTAGGTACAGCCTAGATAAAATTCCTAGCAGCAAAACTGCTGGGTCAGAAGCGAAGTGTATTGTTGCTGGATATTGCCATAACGCTCCCCGCAGAGGGGTCTGTGCTCACATCGGTCGTGTGTAAGTGTGTGTCTATCCAGGTCTCTCCAGCGTGGAGGGTCTCACGGGGTGGATTACCAAACTTGATCTCTGCTGGGTAGACAGGTAACCGGTGGTAGTGAACTGTAGTTCTAGTTCTTAATTTCTCTCATTACCAGTGAGCACATCTCACACATGTTTAAAAGCCATTAGTAATTTCCCGTTTTTTCTTAGCTTTTATTTTAATTTCGGGTTGCCCATCTTTACTTTCAATTTGAAGGAATTTTTTTTTTTTACAAGAAATTAGCCATTCCTCTCTGATGCATACATTTTCCCCAGTTTATCATTTGCCTCGACTTTGATTTTTCCCCCCTCCGTGGGAAAAATTTCAATACTTTTATCAATATTTTTGACTTCTGGGTTTATGTGTTTAGAAGGGCCTTCCCTATTCTGAATATTCTTGGCCGTTAATTATGTTGAACTCTTTGAGCCACCTGTAATTTATTTTGATGCAGTGTATATGGTAGAGATCCAAGTTGAGAGAGTTAATTGCTCTCTTAAGTGGGATCTTTTCTTTGATTACATTTTTAAAACCAGTGGTTGGTTTTAAGACAGCTATTGATTTTGACGTATTAATTTCATTTGATTCTGAGTTATTACTGAATTATCTTTGGCTGTCATCTCTAATTTGTCCCCTTCTCATTTTGTCTTTTATCTAATCGTGTCTGGTTTTTTTTTTTTTAATGTTTATTTTTGAGAGGGTGCAAGCCGGGGAGGGGGATGGAGGGTCCCAGCGGGCTCCGCACTTGACGGCAGAGAGCCTCACACGGGACTCAAACTCACGAACCTCGGGATCGTGACCTGAGCCACCCAGGTGCCCCTAATTGTGTCTGTTATTAAACAATGTGAAATATTGGTAAAAATGGATCGTCGTTTTTTAAAGCCTTCGTTAGAAAGAAGTGTTCTGTCTCCTCGAATTTCTTTTCAGCGTTTGTGGAAACGACCGTGTGGCTTTCCCCATTCGTTGTAGTCACGTGGTGAACTGCAGTAGATTCCTCGACAGGTTCTGCTTGTGGGTAGCACGTGGCTCTGGACCCTGCTGTACTGCCTTGAGGTCTGGCATTGACCCAGACCCAGTGCCGCCTCTCACACTGGGCCGATCGGCAAGGTCTGGGTGATGACAGGATGCCGGCCTCACGTCAAGATCGGGGAAGCGGTTTGCTCCTTCTTGTGCTGGGGAGCCACATGCGCCGCCCCAGGGGGCCTTCCCTCCAGGGTGTGCCTGTGTCGCTCACTTGTTCCAGGGACCGTTGGCTCCCTTGAGAGCTTTCCCCGTCTGCTCATTGTTACTTTTTCTATCCTCGGGGGTCAGTTTGGGTGATTCACCAGGAGATTGAAGAAAATCAGCTCAAACCTGAGTACATAGTGACTGAAGAAACCATTATTTAAAAAAAATCTCCAAAAAAAATTAGGTGCATGTAGGTTTTTCCTGTCCAGGCAAATTTTATCAGACACTTACTAAACTGTCTCCATCATTATAAAGCTTTTCGTGCCGCAGTCCACCTCTCATCCGTAGCACATACTGAGTTGTCGGTACTTGGTGATCCATTAGGATCCCTTCTTGCTCCTTGGTGGGTTCTCCCCACGCAGTCTGTGGCTTCGCAAAGCCATCTTCTCGAGCCACGCTGGAGAGTTTCATGCATCCCTCTGTGTGCTCCCCTCACAGTCCTTCCAGTATTTTGCCACATCCCTTTCTTTTCGAGAGGTCCACAGGTAGCAGATTTGGGGTCCTTTTCTGTTAAAAAAAAAATCTTAATTATGCCTTCGAACTCGGTAGGTCCACGAGGTATAGGAGTTTTGGTTCAAACTAATGTTCCTCAGAACTCTGCATACCATTGATCTGGTGCACATGCTCATAACTGGGAGTTGAGGACCCAGCGGGTTTCAGACCCTCTCTGTGCACCTGTTGTCTAGACCACACTTACCATGCTAGCATTAGCTGGGACTGGCCTCCTGCTAGGCACTGGGTCTTTTACTTTTTGACTTGTAGCAGCGAGGCTGTTAAGTTCACCTGTACTGAAATTTTGCCCCTTTTAATTTTTGCTCTGTGGCTTTTATTTCAGGAACCGTGTTGGTGTTTTGCCACATAAGGGATCTGTCTCGTTTATCCATGTGTGGAAATGCAGCATATACTTAAACAGTCATTTTTTTTAACATTTTTTAAAATTTATTTTTGAGAGAGGCGCAGAATACTAGCAGGGTAAGAGCACAGAGAGGGAGACACAGAATCCGAAGCAGGCTCCAGGCCTGAGCTGTCTGCATAGAGCCCACACCAGGCTCGAACCCAGGAACCGTGAGATCATGACCTGAGCCAAAATCAAGAGTCGGACGCTTAACCCACTGAGCCACCCAGGCACCCCAAGCAGAGTCATTTTTAAAGAGGTTCTTAAATTCACATTATTACAAGGCAAGTAATTATTGTGGGACTTCAGATGAGTGGCAGCCACGGACACATTGCTTTCCAAATTTCGACAAGAGGGTGATAAAATTTAAAAGTCAAGTTAAATTCAACCCCAGAAAAGTGTCATTTTCCCAACTGGGTAAGGGTTTGGGTTACAGACGAGTGTGGCCTGTTTACCTCCTGCCCTTAACAGAATTTGGTGGTACCAGCAAAACTCCTGGGCTGGGCAGTAGACTTACCACTGGGTCAGCCTCCTCAGTCCGGTGTGGTCAGAGTTGAGCTTTCCTGTGTGTGGACTCCCGCTCAGGGCAGGTGTCTTCCCTGTTGAGCAGAGAAAGCATGTGTGACGGGTCAGCTGATATAGTTGTCTTGAGTCTGTCTTGTTCTGGGGGCTTTTCTGTCGCACCCTCGCATCCTATGACCATGTACTAATAAGGAGGTAAAAGTTCTATATCAGTATGAAGATGTTGGCACACAACGTTTTTTGTTTTTTTTTTTTAATGTTCTGGCACAAGATTGTTGGGCATCGACCAGCACAACCAAGGATGAACCTGTCATTTCGGGCCTTAACACGAATCCCATTTCTCTTATCTGTGCTTCTCTCGGGCCTTCCAGGGTGAGGATCCATGACTTCCGCACTGACAAAATCGCCCTGTCACTCTCTGCCCACCAACTGGGCGTCTCTGCAGTGCAGATGGACGACTGGAAAATCGTCAGTGGAGGCGAAGAAGGCCTGGTCTCGGTGTGGGACTATCGGATGAACCAGAAGCTGTGGGAGGTGCATTCCAGGTAACTGAACGGAACGGGAGCCATAGGGGTAGCAGGCCGCCTCTGAGCCAGTTCCTTGTGTCACCACACCGTCCTCAGCGTAACCGAGGAGCTGGCTGCGGTCAGTTCCTCTCTCCATTTCTCAGGCGAGGAACCTGAGACCCAGAGACGGCGCTGGTCACTGGGGAGGTAGTTCTACTACTCACGCCGTTAAAGCTGCCGTGACTTACACCCAGCCAGGGTAGGCAAGGCCTGCTGGGAGTCCCCAACCGCAGCCTCTGCTCTGGAGTCCCAACATGCGGGACCTTGATTGTCCATTTCTTGGACTTGCTTTCCACTGTTTACTTGCAGTCCTAGGGCCCTTCTAGTCAGGCTTCAGCTAAGGAGGGGGCAGTGTAGCCTTTCGTTATCCCAAGTGTAGGTGGGGGGCCTCACGGATGTAGGCAGATAACGTTAAGGATGCCTAACGGGTAGAGGCAGCCGTGCCTGGAGCTGACTTGAGGCCATCCCCCTCTTGCCTGGGGAAGGGGCTCTCCCTCCCCCCTTACCCTGCCACAGCCACCTGGCCCTACATGCCACCAGTTGGGGGCAGGGAAAGAGGAGAGCCTTCTTCCCAGCTGGCCCAGCACCACTGTGAAGGCACATTCTGCGACGCGGACTGGGAGAAGAAGAGGAAGAAACACAGACGCTGAGCCCACAACTAGAAATTTCAAGTCCTAGTAAGAGAAGGCAGTACAGTCCAGGCCCGGTACCAGCGGTGGCAAGGTTAAAACAGGAATTGGCTGCTTCTATCAGACTACACCGTCTGGCTCTGTCCAGCCCTGTCTTACTCAGCAAACAGGTGCAAAAGCCCTTTTCCTGCTTTCTGTGATGATACGAAGAGTTGCCACCAGGTGGTGCCGAAAGGCAACTAAACGTCCTCCATGGTGGCACCTTAGAAGGAGGAAGCCCTTTTATTGCTTGGACGAGCCGGGTCAGCCTCTCCTACTAGCACAGCTCACTGCAGCTGGGGCCCTGGGGGGCTGCCACCCTCCCGTCCCGCTTTCCAGCAGCAGCGCCGCCTGTTCACTAGGGCTGGACTCCAGCAAAATCTCGTTTTCTCTCCCGGAAGAGCTGTGTTCCCTTTGACGTATCATTCAAGCGAAGCCACAGTCAGTGAGGTCTTCCCCAGCCGTGTCCTGTCCCGGCACTTGCCTCCCTAACTCACTTGTAAGTGTACACGCAGTCCTCGCCGCCGGTTAGTGGCTTGGGCCACCTGGCAAGGTCCCCATGTCCCCCAGTGAAGGGCTGGGCCCCACTCTTCAGTGTCCTACCTGGAGCTCGTGTGCTCACCAGGTCCTCGCCTGCCTTGCGTGCAGCCCGTCTGGGTCCTCTCGAGCCTCTGGTCCGGCCCCGCGGTACAGCAGAGCCTCTCCCTCCACACTCAGCCCGCTCTCCCTTGGCCCCACCTCGCCGGGCCCCTAGTGAAGTCTCCCAGACATGCTTACTTCTGGTTGGTGCCCCGAATCCTGGACTGGCAGGGCCAGGTTCAGATTCCCCCGGACTTTCGATACCAAGGAGAGAATGCTCTGTTCCGGCCAAGAAGCCAGCCCCTGCTCGGCCTGCACAGAGTTTCCCTCATCTCTGCCTTTCTGCAAGGGCCTGGCTGATGGGCTCAGTGCTGAAGCCTGTGTCCCATCCTTGGGGCTTGTGACATCTTTCGTGCTCTAGAAACCTTGGTTTCATTTTGGGGGAATGCACTCTTACATTCTTAGCTAGTTAGGAAACCTCTGATAGCAGGTTCCCGATTGCATTGGACATCTTTACATCCTGTGGCTCCTGGCTTGGAGCTGTGACCAAGGCACTGGATAGAAGCGTTTAGAATGAACAAAAGCCTTTACTCCATCCGTCGGTTTCAAGCTACTGTTGCTAAATTTTGCAGCACAAGAGCACAGAGTCCAACTATCAGTTGTAGCCCTCTCAAACATAGGAGGAGGGGGCCTTTGATGGATCAGCCCCACACCCTGCAGAGGGGGAGCCTGGCGAACCTGTCCAGGGCTGGCCAGCCAGAAATGGGGCTGTTCTCTACCACGTGCTAAGATCCTTCACGTCAAAACATACCAAGTTGGGTGGCCAGCCAGGAGACATAGGGGGCACCCGGACTTGTTAACAGCAGTGCCCAGAGTATAGAAGCAAGGCAAGTCTCTGCCCCTGTTGGGGGCCCGGGTTCCTCCCCTGTTCATGAGAAGCTTGGTAGAGGGTTCTAGAGCCCCTGTACTCTAAACTTCCGAACGTAGAGGGGGCCCAGTCTGGGGGGGGGCTTCCCTTTACCAGGCGCTCTCCGTTGTGTTCCAGGCACCCCGTCCGCCACCTGTCCTTCAACAGCCACAGCCTCATCACGGCCAACGTGCCCTACGAGAGGGTGGTGCGCAACACTGACCTGGACTTCACGGCCCACAGGAGGTCAGTGCGTGGGGCTGGCTTTGTCGGGGCTCAGAACACATCATCTTGGCTTGACTGTGTTACTAGGACCCCTGGGCCACCTCGTGCCCCCAGGGTCACCTCGTACCCCGTCAGGTACGGCCATTGTTTTCACAGAAGCTGCGAACTTCGCGGCCGCGCAGCAAAGCGTGCGCATCGCGATGCTCCCGCCGTGGTTACGCTCCCGGTGACGGTGGCAAAGCCCCCTCTTCCTGCTCCATCTGCCGGGGGACTCCGTTCCCAACGAGGGAGAGACCCCCGTGCAGGTGGCTCGGGTGACTGCTGGCCTCCCCTCCGTCAGACGCGGCGGCTCACCTGTCTGTCTCCAGTCCCGGGACTGCGTGTCCGCCACGCTGTCGGCCCGAAGGACGGGAGCGTTCACGGGGACCGTCCCGACGCCTGCTGTCTGTGCTTCCTCTAGGCACCGCGGGCTGATCCACGCCTACGAGTTCGCGGTGGACCGGCTGGCCTTGCAGAGCACGCTGCCCGTCTGCCGTTCGTCCACGGACCCCACGGCCGGCCACGGCTATGCCCTCGCGCTCGCCTTCCCCCAGGACCGGAGTTAGGAGCGGGGAGAAAAGCGGGAAGAACCACGCCTGCCGGATTTGGAAACCGCCGGGGGGAAGAACACGACCCCCGGGTGCACCCGTCTGACCCCACACGTGCCTCGGCTGCCTTTGCCTTCCTCTGCTGCCTGTGGAAAGCGGGAGCCTGTCGCAGCTTGTCTCGTCTGTTTTCTGGGTGCTCTGGTCCTCCTCTGGGGCTTTCTTACCCCTCACGCTGCACCTCCTCCCCCCGCCCCTCCACGTCCACTCTGGCCCCATCCGGGCCCCTCTGTCCGGATACGGTGTGGACCTCCCCCCACGTCTTTACACTACAGTCCGGGGCCCTGCTCACCTGCTGCCGCCATCGTTCCGGTCTTCAAGCCCTTTCTCCAGGGGGAGGGGAGGTGCCTGAGCTGACACGGCCCCACCTCCCCTGGACCCGAGAGCACATACTCACCCAGACTGGTCTGTGATGCCACCACCCGGTGTAGACTTGGGATCACAGGCCTGTTTCCTCCTAGTTCTTAACCATGATTCATAATTATATATTTATACAATTGCATTAAGGACTCTGTGGTCTGCTCTTTTGTCCACAACCTGTGATACAAAGTAGATTATTTTCTACATGTGTGTTGCATAAACAGCCATCCTCCACGCAGGATGGAAGAGGAAGAGCTGGCGGAGAAACCGCTACCCTAAACCACGGCGCTACAGCAGGGCAACACCTGGGGGGGCACGAGTATGATCAACAGCCTCCATTTCCGAGGGAGGGGGAGGCCGAGCGGTCACCTTACAAAGGATGGAGACTGTGCAGCAGCAACCACCCGATGTCCCTTCAAAACAGCAAAGCAGAAACTGAGAGGACCATGAAGGGAAAGTCCATTCCCAGAGCGAGTGATCAATAAGGACTCCGAGGATTTACTTGGTGGAATTTACAAGCGTGATCCAATACGCGTATGTAGTTTGGGGCCTCTTTAAATACCCGTAGACCATGCACGGCACCGGAGTCCGTGTGAGGACCACAAAGGATGATCCCATCCAGGCCAAATTCCATGACCCCTAATGCAGTAAAATTCGATAAAGTGAAATACGTCCACCTGGAAATTCCAAATACTCCAGAATTGGTTTAAAGAAAAATGGAAATATGAACTCCCTAGACCAGGGTGACCATGACTGCACTGAACATCAAAACCCCCAGGACGAGGCCAGGGTGGACAGAAGCTGTGGCTTGAGTAGAAAACACAACAGGCCAAGATAAATGGACAGCTGTCACCTCAGATAGAGACCTCAAAGGAGGGTGTTAAGCAAAGATTAAAAAACACATTGATGGGACAGAAAGCCAATAAATAGTAAAGTTTATCACAATGCCGGAAACCCCACGCTTGTACCATTTTACACTGGACCAGCTTTTTCGAAAAGCCAAAATATACAAGTCTTGATTAAAAAAAAAAAAGGCACAAGGGGCTTTTCAGGGCAACCTGCCCACGCTGACCCAAGAGAAAGGGACGCTTTCCTACTGTACACGGGAGAAAATTGGGACACGTGTGCCATTACAGAGAGTCCCGGCCCTTGAGTCGTGAAGGTTTCAGTTTTTTCAGATGAATTCGGTCCACGTTAAAAACCGACGTGCAGCTAGATAGGACGGGGGAACCGGGAAGAGCCCCGGCTGGGAATCCTCACTCAACCCGCAGGGTGACGCTGGCTTTCAAGACCGCCTTCCTCGGCAGGAGCTTCATCAGGACAGCCTTCTGCTTCCTTTCAACCAAATTACGTCATAAATGAAGCCGGTCTGCAGTTAGCAGATGAAGGATTTTATTTACTCCTCGTGTCATGTGCTGCTCTGACCCCCTAGTGACCTCGCTTTATAAGGTTTTCATCTTTCACAGCCTTAATGTAACTGGACCACTGGGTAAAAGACATTTTTCTTCTAAGAAGCAGGCCCTTCCAGTCCGATTTTTACCTCTCATTTTGCAGACGCGGTCACCCTTCGTAGCTTCGCAGCCGTGAAAGGTAGTTGAAGAGTTGCAAAGAAATCAGACCCAGAAAAATATACCAAAACTAAAAATAGTTCTAAACTCTTGTCATTCGCGGCCAAAAGCTGGTCCAGCGTAAAATGGCACCACCACAGGGGTTTTCTTACCTCCCCAGCCTGTTTATAACCTCTCCCCTGACGGAGAAGGGCCTGTTTTTTGCGGAGGAGGGTTTGTCAGATCCAGACTCCGATCCCCAGGCACGGCAACCTGTGTTTGCTGCTACAAACTTTACGTCCTGGAACGTGGGGAAGGGACCGAATTCCTCCATAAATTCACATTTACCCAGTGACTTAAAACGCCTTGGCCCGTATCCCCCCACCCCTTCTGCTCCGCCCACCTTACCTGGATCCCTGTTGGCTCTTTTGAGGAAGCTTCTTTGCAGGTTCTGAGTTCGCAGGTGGATCATCTCCTTTCCTTCCTCCGTAGCTCTTCTCCTCAGACTACCCCCTCCGGCTTCCCCCGAAGACAGAAGCAGCTCCTGTACCACCTGGGGAGCCAGAGGGCCCCACACCAGGGCTCTTGTGTCCTAGAACATCGCCTGCCTTTTGCTTTCTACTTTTATCAACTGTCTGTCCCCATATTAAATTTTTGAAATTTGTTTCTTGCTCAAATGACCTGGCAAGGCCCCCGGCCAGCCAACCGTGGCACCTGCTCTCCCCGACCCCCGGCGCGCTCCGCCAGCAGGGCAGCCTGGTGTCGCAGGCCATGGGAGCGCGACCACCACTCACAGGGGTTCCCAGGCCAGGATCCAAGAAACCCACAAGATGAGGTGTGAAACCGGACACAAGCGTTAGGCAGGTTGGCTTTCGTCAGGTCGTGTGAGGGGACTGCCGAGAATCACATCTCGGCCACTGGATTGCGCCTTTTAAGCCAAGCCACGTGCTGCCTTCGAGCTGCCATTGCGCAGCCAGTGACTTGTGTTTAAAAGCTACCCCGGGGGTGGCATCACCACCCCCAGGAGGCACAACGCTCTCCCTGGCTGATGACTTCCCCAAGATGGGGATTTGGGTCTGTTGTGAAAGGAACGTCTGATGGGGCGGCTCAGTCAGTTGGGCGTCCGACTTCAGCTCGGGTCAAGATCTCGCCGTTGGTGGGTTTGAGCCCCGCGTCAGGCTCCGTGCCGACGGCTCAGAGCCTGGAGCTGCTTCGGATCCTGTGCCTCCCTCCCTCTCTCTACCCCTCCCCTACTCAAGCATAAACAACAAATTTTGTTTTTAAACTAGAGGCCCAGCACTTAGGGGATGGCATGCCGCTCTGCGTTTGAATGACAAGCACCAGCTTACTGCAGACAGACTCTGCTCACTGAGGAGGCGAAGTGCCTTCCCCTCATGAGGGCACAGCCTTCTCCTTAGAACCTCCTGGTGGCTTGCCATTACCGGCAGGTCCGTGACCACGGGCTAGACGGGTGCTGTCTCGCCCCCCGACTCGGGGCCTCTGCTTTGGGCAGCCGCTGCGGCGGCCAGGAGCTTATGATGCCAGCTGGGCCGTGGCGCCGTGAGCCACGCAGACCTGCCCGCCTCGCCCTCGAGCCAGGCCAGACGGTTACCTGGCTGCTGCGGCGGGCCCCGCCGGTGGCGGTCTGGACAGGGCCGCCTCCGATGTGCGGCGGCAGGTTCCCTCTCGCTGGGCTGCAGCGGCCCCGGGCAGGGCAGGCGTTCGGCCTCCGACCTTCGCCGTGGGTTTCCAGCCGCAGGTTTGCACACCGGCTCAGCGCCAGGGCCCGCTTCTTCCCTAGGAAGGGCGGGAACGCTCCCAGCTCCCCGCGGCCTCAAGAGCTGAGCCCGTCACATCTTCCCTTCCCGTGCCCACTGGCAGGACGGTCCCTGTCCCTCGAAGACCGAGGGGACCGACGCCGCTGCTCAACACATCCCCTCACCCTGACTGCTGCTCGGGGCTCTGGGGCTGAACGTGGAGCCTGGTCCCTTGCTGACTTGGTTGGATTAGAAGGCTCGGCAGCCACCACGGGCCAAGTTCATCCACCGCCGAACACCCCGCTGGCACTTGCCTCCTGATTCCGGAAAGGCCCAGAGACAAAGGCAGAGCTGACAGAAACCCCGGCTCCTCCTGCTCCCCCCTCTCCAAGGCCTTCCCAAGGTCACCGTGTGGGAGGACAGCTTGCAAAGCAGGTGTTTGCAAAAACCCTCGCCAAGGCAACTTGTATTTTTAACTCTGTCAGCCCACGGAAGTCACTGCCGGTCCCGGTGCTGCGGTTCAGCCTCAGCAGGCAGGTGGGGGCAGGCTCGGGTGCATGTGTGACCTGCCTCCCCTGAGCAGAGCACAGAAAGAACTTTCCAGTCCCTCGGACAAGAAGGTAATGGAGTTGTTTTGCGCAAGTCCAGCAAGGTGGTGCTTGGCCAAATTTGGAAGGGGTTGTGATCTTGGGTTATTCCCTGGTCCGTGATGCACGGTCAACGTGGCTGCCGGATGTTTCCCCCGAGCTTCTCCTACTAGATTTCCATTACGCAGCCCTTTTGTGAAGCTACCAGACTCCTGCGTTTGTGTCAAATTGCTGAATTCTCTGAACATCCAAAAGCTGAGTTCTGGTAACTTCTCCCCTTGGTGACACGGCAGCATGGGACTAGATCCGGCTTTCTTTTTTTTTTTTTTATTTTTTATTTTTTTTTTATTTTTTAAATTTTTTTTTTCAACGTTTATTTATTTTTGGGACAGAGAGACACAGAGCATGAACGGGGGAGGAGCAGAGAGAGAGGGAGACACAGAATCGGAAACAGGCTCCAGGCTCTGAGCCATCAGCCCAGAGCCCGACGCGGGGCTCGAACTCACGGACCGCGAGATCGTGACCTGGCTGAAGTCGGACACTTAACCGACTGCGCCACCCAGGCGCCCCTAGATCCGGCTTTCAACCCGACTGCGGGCAGATGGGTGAAGAACAGAAGGGGGCCCTCACCCTGCTGGGTCTCCACCCACCTCCTGCGGCCTTCAAAGCACGACCTCACTTCCTCCAAATATTTGCCTTAGCACTGATTTCTGCCTATTTCCTTTTAGTCACTGGTGTAATTCTTGATAGAAGACAGGCTGTTGAACAAGCATATCTGTTGACTCGACCACTTGCCTCTTTTAAAACCAATTTCAAAACAAACACACCACTTGCTTCTGACGAGGCGCCCGATCCAGGGACCCAGGGACGTAGCCATACTTGCTCAGGGGCGATGCAGCCACAAAGCCCTTCCTGGGCACCCTCGCCGGTCCGGCGGGTGACAGGAGGGAATGGGAGCCCCCGCCTGCGTCCTCTGCTAGACTGTGGGGAATTAACCTGCCCTTTCTAGAAGCAGGTTTGCACCCACTGCTAGGAAACCCTGATCACTCCCCAAATGACCGAACGGGCACCCTGGGAGCCGGTGGGAGCCCCAGGTAAACTCTGCAGGCCGCGCTCTGGTGGAAATAAGCCTTAACCCTGCCAATTTCGTGACACCCTCAGTGACTGGGAACAAATTAGCTTTCTTTTGAGCAGCATGGACTGGGCTCATGGTGAATAAATCTCCTTTTAATTAGCTGTTTAGGTAAGCCGGGGC